TTCGAATTTCATAATTTTCATCAAAAAGTCGGTTTTTGAAAACCGACAAACCGTAGTTATTAGATATCATGGTCCGGCAACATACTGAAATTTTACGGCCCCTACGACAAGTAGTTTAATTTTTAAAATTCATCAAAGTTTAAAAAATTATCAGTCAATTTGTGTCAAAAGTTGCTTTTGTGATGTTATGAGTCAACATTATCAACTCATTAAAATTTAAAATAATATATAATTTTAGGGCATACAATCACTAGTGTCTCTGCATATATTAATATAATTACAGTTAATTTAAATGTGTTTGAGAAAATTCTATTGGAAATCGCAATGTTTAGATTTAATCGCAAACATTATTTTCGAAATAAACAGTTGACTAATTTTATTTAATATCTAAATCTCATTTTCTTTCGATTAAGTCAATTATTACACATTTCCGGAAGTTTATGGAACTTGTCTTAAGGGGCACAACTAGTGTAACCGCCTAAAAAAGGTGATTTTTGGGAATTTATATTAAAAAAAACTACTTTATCAATCATTTCAAAATTTAGAAATATATTTATACATGTTTTAAGAATACATAGTAAAATTTTTGAAGAAAAAATTAATATTTTTTTAAAGTTATCGTCGATCTCCAACGGCGTGACAAAAAAAGGGGCCCTTACTGCTGCAGTGATTTCGGCCTCCTACGTGGATGAAATCAAAAAAAAAATTCTCGTTAAACTAGATAATATTGACTGTAAAATGAACTACGATAAAAAAAATAAATCAAAATTGACAAAATGGCGGCGTTTTAAAAAAAAGTCGAATTTTACCCAAAATTTTGCTCGTTTTTCGACTGCCAAATTTAGATTTTTAATCCGATCAAAAATCGAGGGTTCATTTTACGGAGAACTATATACACAACATGTAAAAAAAATTGATAGTGATCGGATCATTCGTTTTTGAGTAATCACTGCAGCAAATTCGGAAAATGCTGTTTCGAGAAAAACGCGTTTAAAGATAAAATGATCGTTATACTATATACTATATGTATACTTTTTTTTAAATGGCTGTAACTCAAAAAACTATTTGACATGTCGATTTGAAATTTTAATATGTTATTTTTAATATATGTTTTTAATAAAGGTGTAATCTAACGAAATATGAAACAAAACAAAAATCGATTTTTTCAAAGTTTCACACTAGTTGCGCCCCTTAAGGCTAAATGGCACTTTCAACTAGTTCAATTTCTTTTTTAGATTCCTTCCAAATGCCAAACAACGGTTTCGTCCTCCACGAACCTCAACACCAACCGCAACAACCTCAGCAGCATTTCAACCAATTCCAAGCACAACCTCATCAATACAACAACCAAATGCAACCGATACAAGTCGCTACTCATTTTGGAAACCAGGGAAACAATCAGTACGGCAACCATTTGTTGCAACAAGCACAAACGCAACAGGGGAATTACAATCAAGGGAAATTATAATAACCAGCCGCAGTATAACCAGACTTACAGTAAACCGATGAATGACTATAATCAGCAGCAGAATAATCAGTATCCTAGCCAGCAGTATCAGAACCAGAATCAGCAGTATCAGGAGAGGAGGTATAGTAACCAGATGCAACAGCAGCAACAGCAGCAGCAGCAGAATCAGTTTAAGAATCTGAACCAATACTCAAACCAACAACCGAATCAAACACAGTACACCAACCAGAATCAGCAATCCACGAGCCCCTATGGAGCCCAACCGAGTAGACCTTATGAAAGTTTCTCAAACGGTGGAGATGTCACATCACATTATACCAACATGTCGATGAACACCAATAATAGACCCATGTCAGGTAATAACACAATTTTAGTTTAACATCAAACAATATTTCATCGGTCAATTTTCCCAGGTGAAGGTGACGCCAGACTAATGCCTTTAAAATCGCCCCCCATAGATGAGATGGCACCCCAATCGATTTCCTTCATCGGTGATGAGAACGAAGAGGATATCCAAACAACTAGTCGTAGCCCGTACAAAGATCAGAATAATGAAATGGAGGCCTTATCCAGGAATATCAATTCTCGTCTTCACATCACATCAGGAAGCAGGACTTACAGGATACCCAGTCCGACGAGGCCTAGTGTTTTACCTAAGGACAATCAGAATTCGATTAATGAAAAAGGTAAGAAATTGAAATTCTGACTTTTTGCAGGTCGTCTGAGTCTTGCAAGTCATTTGAGAGTCTTGCTGGTCGTCTGAGAGTCTTGCAGGTCGTCTGAGAGTCTTGCAGATGGTCTGAGAGTCTTGAAGATCGTCTGAGATTCTTGAAGATTGTCTGAGATTCTTGCAAATTGTCTGATAGTCTTGTATTTCATCTTAGAGTCTTGTAGATCGTCTGAGAATCTTGCAGATTGTCTAAGAGTGTTGCAGATCATCTGAGAGTATTGTATATCATCTAAGAGTCTTGCAGATCGTCTGAGAGTGTTGTATATCGTCTGAGAGTCTTGCAGATTGTCTGAGAGTGTTGTATATCATCTGAGCGTCTTGCAGATCGTCTGAGAGTATTGTATATTATCTAAGAGTCTTGCAGATCGTCTGGGAGTGTTGTATATCATCTAAGAGTCTTGCAGATCGTCTGAGAGTGTTGTATATCATCTGAGAGTCTAGCAGATTGTTTGAGAGTTAGTCTGAAAGTCTTGCAGGTTGTCTGACGGTCTTGCGGAACGTCTGAGAGTCTTGCAGAACGTCTGAGAGTCTTGCAGAACGTCTGAGAGTATTGCAGAACGTCTGAGAGTATTGCAGAATGCCTGAGAGTCTTGCATATGGTCTGGGAGTCTTGCATATGGTCTGGGAGTCTTGCATATGTTTTGAGAGTCTTGCAGATGGTCTGAGAGTCTTGCAGATGATCTGAGAGTCTTGCAGATGATCTGAGAGTCTTGCAGATGGTCTGAGACTGTTGCAGATGGTCTGAGACTGTTGCAGATGGTCTGAGACTGTTGCAGATGGTCTGAGACTGTTGCAGATGGTCTGAGACTGTTGCAGATGGTCTGAGACTGTTGCAGATGGTCTGAGACTGTTGCAGATGGTCTGAGACTGTTGCAGATGGTCTGAGACTGTTGCAGATGGTCTGAGACTGTTGCAGATGGTCTGAGACTGTTGCAGATGGTCTGAGACTGTTGCAGATGGTCCGAGACTGTTGCAGATGGTCTGAGACTGTAGCAGATGGTCTGAGAGTCTTGCAAATGATGAGAGTGTTGCAGATGGTCTAAGAGTCTTGCAGATGGTCTGAGAGTCTTGCAGATGGTCCGAGAGTCTTGCAGAATGTCTGAGAGTCTTGCAGAATGTCTGAGAGTCTTGCGGATGGTCTGAGAGTCTTGCAAATGATGAGAGTGTTGCAGATGGTCTGAGAGTCTTGCAGATGGTCTGAGAGTCTTGCAGGTGGTCCGAGAGTCTTGCAGGTGGTCCGAGAGTCTTGCAGGTGGTCCGAGAGTCTTGCAGGTGGTCCGAGAGTCTTGCAGGTGGTCCGAGAGTCTTGCAGATGGTTCGAGAGTCTTGCAGATGGTCCGAGAGTCTTGCAGGTGGTCCGAGAGTCTTGCAGGTGGTCCGAGAGTCTTGCAGGTGGTCCGAGAGTCTTGCAGGTGGTCCGAGAGTCTTGCAGGTGGTCCGAGAGTCTTGCAGGTGGTCCGAGAGTCTTGCAGATGGTCCGAGAGTCTTGCAGATGGTTCGAAAGTCTTGCAGGTGGTCTGAGAGTCTTGCAGATGGTCTGAGAGTCTTGCAGATGGTCTGAGAGTCTTGCAGCTCGTCTGAGAGTCTTGTAGATCTTCTGAGAGTGTTCTATATTATCTGAGCGTTTGTAGATCATGAACTATAAAATTACCATTTTAATTTTCAGGTTTCTATATATCATTCGAAGACAACGACAACAAACAGCCTAAACGACCAAAACCTCCACTCAGAGCCAAAAGAACACCTTCGACAACACAAAGTCAACAGCATAGTAATAACAACAGTATGCAGAACAACAATACGCATCAAATGGAAACCAAAACTAATGATAAATTCAATAAGGATGTGGAGATGCTGGCTGCCGAATTGGACAGGGAAAGAGTTATTGTAAGGGATAAGGTGAGATGATATAAAAAAAGGCTATGTGTAATGTGATGTTGCTAAATTGTTATGTTTATTTCAGAGGGAAACTTTAAGTGCCGAGCCAAATAGGAATACAAATCAAAACGATGTGAATCGAGATAAAAGTCACGATCAACCTACACCAGCAGCACTCATCATAGGAACTGATCTTGCCAACCCAGATCCGGTAAATATAAACAAAACATCCACAACACATTGTTTTGGTAGAATACTTACAACTAGTTTGTATATTTTTTTTTAGGATTCTGTGGACGAAATGGAAAGAAAGAAAGAAAAGATTATGCTACTTTCCTTAAGGCGCAGACAGAAGCAGGATGAGGACAGGGCCAAACGGGAAGCTGATTTGGAGAGGGAAAAGGAAAAAGAGAGGGCTGCCGAAGAAGAAAAATCGAGGCGGAAAGAAGAACAAGCCAGGAGGAGACAGGAAATTTTGGACAGGCATAGGTTGAAGAAGGCTATCGAGGAGGCCGAGAGAGAGGTAATAATGAAAAGACCATTTTTAACTTGCCGTAGGATAGTTATAGTAATGGGCTGAAAATCGAAAATGAACATTTTTGCATTTCTCGACGTTTTGAAGGTTTCTGAACATTTTTAAGGGGCATACCTCAGAAACTAAATGGATGTGTGTGTGTTTTGTATGTCCGCATTTTTTCGTGAACGTTTTCGGGCGCACGTATCAACCGATTTAAATGGTTTAAAAAACGTTCGATCCCTATTGATAGGTTGATGTGCTTATTAGTTTTTGGCAAAGGCAGGTTCAGCGGTTTTGGAGATACAGAGCTAAATGTGCAAAAAATGGCAGTTTTTGAGTGAACTAAGCATCCGATTTGAATGATCCAAAAAAACTTTCTACTTGTATTGACAAAACAATTGCTTTTGAGGATGAAAAATTACATCTTTTTTTATTTTCCATAAAATATTTTTAACTTCCCGTAGGGCAAGTTATAGTAATCGCAAAAAAATCGAAAATGAAAACTTTTATATATCTTCACATTTGAAAACCTTCTGAACATTTTGGCATACCTTAGAAAAAAATGGATGTATGTGTGTGTGTATGTGTGTGTGTACGGATACAAATTTTCGTCGACGATTTCGAGAACACGGATTAACCGATTTGAATAATTCGTAAAACATTCGATTCGTATTGATAAGGAGACGTGTTGATTAGTTTTTGGCGAAGGCAGGTCTAGTCGTTCCGAAGATACGGGGCAAAAAGTGCCGAAAACGGTAACCCCGTTTTTAAGAGAACGGAGCGTCCGATTTTAAAAATTCAAAAAGCATTTTACTTGTATTGACAAGATGAAGAATTGGTCAAATTTTCATGAAGGCAGGTCTAGCAGTTTAGGAGATCTAGTAAAAAAAGTAAACAAAAATGCCATCTAGCGGTCAAAAATGATCATTAAACATATGCACATCAAATTATCAGATATTTTATAGAGATTTTAACAATAAGTATAAATTTTGTTTACATTACATTGGGTTCCGTACCAATGTTTATGCGTTAGACGGCGACGCTTCGATATTTCGTCTCTATGCAAGTCTCTATGCATTCGTCTTAAAGCAGTACGATTGCTTTGAAAAAAAGTTCAGAATTTCCAAAATATTTCAAAATAAATTTTTCTTCAAAAAGTCTTTTTTTCAAAAAAAGTAAATTTTTGTCAAAAATTTATAGTTTCTTAAAAATCTAATTTTTTCAGTGATTTTTTTCAAAACTGTTAGTCGTTTTTAAAAAATTAATAATTTTTGGTACGGGAAGTTCCAGCAATTTGCCTTAAGGCACGATGCCATACACCACTAGTTCCTTCAATTCAATTTTCCTCTATCTCTTCCCCCAGGGTAAGGTGATAGACAAGAACGAGCTCATGCACTCTCTGAAGATCACGACGCCATTGAACGCCGCCAATCAGACGAGCACGACACCCAGGCTCAGAACCAAAACTAATAGCTCGAGTAGTTCCACGATAGGCAGCGCAGCCGGTGGCAAACCTAGACAACGTCCTAAGACAATACATATCGATTCTCAGGAAATATCTGATAGTTTGGCTCTGGTCAACAGTCGGGGGAAGAAGGGATCGAGCAGTAATCTGTCAGGTAATAAATGTATATAAATGATAGTTTTGTTGGTTTGTTTGGTGAGCAATTTTTTATGTGGATTAAGATGATATACATGGTGGTAATGATAATTCATAGAGGTTTGCGTTATTAGATCTGTTGTTCAAACAAGAGGTTTAAATCAAAAACTTTTCGGGATAATAGAAAGGAAACTTTTTTCATTTTTGAACTTTTTTTTTGTAAAGATGCATCAGCCTGGCGGATTTTTTTATTAAATGAATAAATAGTGAATTATAATTCAAGGGGCACAACTAGTGTGAAATTATCAAAAAATCTAATTTTCAATTTTTCCATATTTCGATAGGTTATACCTTTAAAAATAACATACCAAAATTTTAAATCGATATCTTAAATAGTTTTTGAGTCACAGCCATTTAAAGAGTATATACATAGTATATAGTATAACGATCATTTTATCTTTAAACGCGTTTTTATCGAAACAGCATTTTCCGAATTGTCTGCAGCGGTTACTCAAAAACAAATGATCCGATCACTATCAAATTTTTTTCACATGTTCTATATATACTTCTCCGTAAAATGAACTAACGATTTTTTGATCGGAACTAAAATCGAATTTTGGCAGTCCAAAAACGACCAAATTTTTGGGTAAAATTCAACTTTTTTTTAAACGCCACTATTTTGTCAATGTTTGATTTTTTTCTATCGTAGGTCATTTTACAGACAATATATATTATATAGTTGAATAATAATTTTTTTAATTTCATCCACGTAGAAGGCCGGAATCACTGCAGCAGTGAAAGGCCTTTTTTTTGTCGCGCCGTTGGAGATCGGCGATAACTTAATAAATATTTAATTTTTTTCTTCAAAAATTTTACTATGTATTCTTAAAAAATGTATAAATATATTCTTAAAATTTTGAAATGATTGATAAAGTTTTTTTTGATATAAATTCCCAAAAATCATTTGTTTTTAGGCGGTTACACTAGTTGTGCATATTAAATAAGTAATTTGTTAATATACATTTTGATTTTTTTATACGATGTTGATCTAGTTTAAAAAAAAGTTGATGGTCTCAAAAAGTCCATTATTAATACCAAGCTTTATTTTTGGTGGCGAAGGAAATGCATTTGTGCATCCCAGACTAAGTCTTTTGTCTGAATATGCCGGAATTAGTACCGCTTGGGTATAATACCGACTAGGGAATGCAATAACGATAAATAAAAAATTTCAATACCGGTATTTCGGTAATCTTAAACAAATGTAGAAAAAAATGAAAGTTACTAATACAAATATAAAAAATTATATATACAACTACAACTATATTCAACTAAACAATAAAAAAAAAACAATAAGTTATTTTTAAATAATAATTTAACAAAATTATATCCAATTTAATTCTTGGTATTCCGGAATACCGCATTTCCTAATACCGACTAAAACCTCTGTTTGTTTCTTACCCTCGAAAACAGCCTTTAGGTATTACTTTGTGGGAGGAGGATTTGGAAAGCTATAATTCCCACTCAGAAATTATACTAATCTTCTTATCTTCTAATAATTCCCTTCTATTATTAGCACCATGTATATATCTATATTTGTTTATATTTTTGTTCATGAACCCTTTTGCACTGCTTTTTATTTATAAAAATTGCATTTATATGAAACTACAGGCCATATTTAATCTACTGCTCATTAAGTGTGTAAAATTTAGAGATTTTCGATAGTAATAAATGGATCAATATTGCCATATAATACCATATCAATGTTATGGCTTATAAATAACTTATAAAATTGGTACTAAAAGCTGTCAAAAAGCTACGCGGTTGCCGTGCAGCCAGGCGGTTTTATACATAAAATCTAACTTCCTACATGTTGACGTTTGACTGCACAGAATAACATAGCATTTTGACATTTTTGGTAAGATTTTATATGAAAAACGGAGCCTAACACAGCATTGCCATAACATTAGTCTATTTTACCACAAAACTCAAAGTTCTATATCTGATAAATGTGCTTTTTTTTTTAATAAGGCACGAATTTATTGAAATAATTATATGTTAATTGAGATTAGGACATGCACGGTGTATGTTCAGACTGCTAATTATCAATATTTTAGGAAGTTCCTTTAGTGTTTTAATAGGCCTGTAGTTACTTTCCACAGTAACATGTATAACACTCAATTTTTTTAGTTTGCTTTTATTTATTTTTGTTTTGTTTTGTCCCTCGTAAGGCATAGGAAGTCAATCTGGGGGCACCATCAGGAGGGATTACTACAGGGGCTCGCAAGACAGCCTGTCTTATCGAGGTAAATCAACAACTCTCGTTTCTCTCACATCATTGTTTTATTTTTGCTGTATTTGTTTTTATATAACAATAATATAATAATACATTTCTTATTTTATTATACATCAATTGAAAAAAAAACTGATCTGGTAATTATTTTTGGATTAGAATCTCCTGAGGATGCACCTAGCAGGTCAACGAGTCAAGGATTGGGCAGACGAGGCTCGTATAAAACTTCTAGAGGTAATGATAGTAATATATATATATATATATATATATATATATATATATATATATATTTTAATATGAACAAAACAGCACTCAGATTTGTTTAACACAACTTTATTTTATGATTACAGACGTTTCGAGACCATGGTGTGTCTCATCCTCAGTGTAATTTCAAAAACAGTTACTTATATACTACACATTCTTTAATAATTTATTTAAATTTTATTTAATTTTTGGTATACAAAAAACACCAACTATTCTGTGTCAAGCATTGCAAGGAATAGTTGGTGTTTTTTGTATACCAAAAATTAAATAAAATTTAAATAAATTATTAAAGAATGTGTAGTATATAAGTAACTGTTTTTGAAATTACACTGAGGATGAGACACACCATGGTCTCGAAACGTCTGTAATCATAAAATAAAGTTGTGTTAAACAAATCTGAGTGCTGTTTTGTTCATATTAAACAATTAATATATATATATATATATATATATATATATATATATATATATATATATATATATATATGATAGGTCTCTATATGAATCGAGTAACTTATAAAAAAAATTAAATCCACAGCCTGAAGCGTTAAAAAGCAAAAAAAAATATGAAAGTAAAAACATAAAGTTGTATATTAAGACGCAAATCAAATTTCCAAACTTTAAGTATATTTTGTTTAATATCAAAATTTAAAGAAATGTTATACGTTTATTAATAATTTAAAGAAATTTAAAGAAGAAGAATTCAAATAAATAGACAAAGAGTTAGCAAGTTTTCTAAATTCAATATTTTTCCTTTATGTTAAAATGATACATAATAGTAATTATGTATATATGTAGGAGTAACGAAAAAAATAACAAAAAACAACTTATTATTGAGAAAAATTTAATATCTATGGGTAACATCAAAGAAGTACCAATTTACTTGAAATTTGTACTCAAATGCTGATTTATGTTAAATTTTGCTTAATTAAAATGTAAAGTCTGCTTTATTTTTACCAAAAAATTAGTAATTTTTAATATAAAAACTGAATTTTAATTCTATAAATTTTAATTTAATGACAATTTATATTTAAGAGGGTATTCTAATGTAGAAGTATGAATTTTAGGGCAATTTTAAAATATTCTATATAAAAGGCAATCCGTTTCTTTTACTACCATTTTTTCTATAATTTATTTATCAGTGCACAGACATAAATATGTGAAAAGAAAAATGTAAATAATTTCAAAAATTAGCAATTGTTGAGGTGGGGAGGTCCTAAAAAATTGACACGTGACCATGTCCACGCTTTTAGCTCTTTTTCCGAAAAGAAAAAAAATGCATATACTAGAATTAAGTTAATTTTTTTTTTTTTACATAATTGCGACTGTTTGAAAAAAAATAGCATTTTTTTACCACTTTTAAGGTATTCTCGAATTTTTCCAAAATAGTAAACATTGAAATTTGGGGATGAGGCAAATATACGCCAGAGTAAAGTCTATAAAGAAGATTCTCTAAAAGTTTCAAGTAAATAGTTTGAAAAAAATATAATTTTCCTTACCACTTTTTGAGTTTCACGATTTTTTTAAAAATAGTAAAAATTGAAATTTGGGTATCAGGTTAGTATACGTAAGAAAGAAGTCTATAAAGAAAATTCTCTGAAAATTTCAAGTAGATAGTTTGAAAAAATATATAATTCTTCTTACCACTTTGAGTTTCACGATTTTTTTAAAAATAGTAAAAATTGAAATTTGGGGATGAGTTTAGTATATGCTCGAGAGATGTCTATGAAGAAGATTCTCTGAAATATTCAAGTAAATCGGTTCAGTAAAAGTCGAGAAATCGTGGGCATCTTATTGAAAAAGACGGTTTTGAGAAAAACACATTAAAATTTCGCGAAAAAGAGGTTTATAGTGGTCAAGCAGGTGTATTTCCGAAAATAATTTAAATTTTTAAAAATTCTTTCGTACACATATTTTTGCAAGATTTGCAAATATGGAACAGAAGTAAAAACATTTTTTTGAATTTCTACACTAGAATATTTCCTTAAATGCTCTGATATATGTTAAATCTTACGTCAAAATCTAATGTCAGTGTTATGTTTACCAGACATCAATTATCTTATGTCCAAAATTATTTTTTTTTTACATAAAACATTATTTATGGTATAACGGTTCATCAATATTTCAATATTGAAAAAATATATATATAAAAATTTACTTACATTTTTACTTAAAGGTATATGTTAAATTCTGCGCAAGTAAGATTTTTATCGAAATCCATATAAGGTCGACCAAAAATTAAATAGGATTTACTATTATTTGTAAGTCAGGGTGCAAAATTGAATTGAAATTTACTATGTGTAAGTATTTTTATTATTTTATTATCGATTATTTTAGAAAATCTAAGCAACATTCCGCAAGCCGGTGGTGCGTCTTCGACATTGCGCGGAAGGACGAAATTTCAACCGACTTATCAATATCCTTCGTCGAATTTCAAAGGAAGAAAGTCGAATTCGTTAATGAACCTTTGCGGTATAATTGATTATAATTAAATTATTTTGCGGTGGTAGGGGTACAGGAAAACGTTTCTTTCTAACATAAAACAAATTGTTTCATCGTGGTGTTTATTAAAAACGCTTTGTGGGATATTGATGGAGGTGTACCTATATGTTTTGTGTTGGACTAATTTTATACGTATATGTTAATACTAATGTGACTTAATGAATATAGGTGATGGTGAACTAATTTTTGTTATTATCTCGGAAATATATGCTGCAAATTTATTGGATAATATTAATGTTACAAACTAAACTTCATGCTTACGTTTCGAGACTATGCAAACATTTGTGTAAACCTTTATTTATAAAAATGAATGTATGTCTGGCTGTCCTTTATGTATTCATAAACCATAAATTCGATTGTCATGAAAATTTGGGAAACTTTTAGGTATATCGCCAAAGATTTACGTACATTTTGATTGAAACCAAGTCGTAGGCATTGGCCATTCCGAAGTTTTTTTCTATTTTTTTGTTCAATTTTTATTTTTGTATTTTTTTATAATGCGTATATAACAAATACATATGACACTAAATTACACCTTTTCTATCTAATAACAATTTGTATTTAATTAATTGCTGATATATGGTGAATTCAGTGTGAACAATATGTAATGTTCAAGAAAAATATTTAAGCGATTTATTGATTTATCGATATTAACAGCACATGCAGAAAATACAGTAAATTCAAAAACAGATATTGAAACATTACACGATTTATACTTAAATTTTATAAATTATATTATTATAATACTAGTGCCATCTTGGTCTCCTGAGTATAATTATTACCCCTCTCTAGTTATTCATAGGTTATATTAATGAGGCAATTCTGCTTGTTTTATATTTTATAATAATAATAATATTATAATTTTATATTTTTATTTTTGATGACACAAACCATAGTCTCGAAACGTTACCAGAGGGTTACGTCTGTAATTTTAATGTTATTTAATAAATGGTGCAAAATGTGTGTTCATATTTCCAATGATGATATATTCTTTCCGCTCATAGTTTATAAATTTATTTGTGTTTGATATTGTCACAGGTTGGTGTCGTCGAAGATCTATAAATATTAATAATTAACATTTTTGTAACATTTGTAACATTTTTTTTACCCACACACACAGTGTCATGGGTTGAGGTACACATGCACACAAACAAATATTGTTTTATACATTTATCTATTTTTTTTGTTATTTCATTTTCTACATAGTTGCTTTATCTATTTTTATTTGTCACTTTTCTTGTAATTTTATGTATTAATATTTACAGTCATTTTTTGTGCTTTCGTGCAATTAATTCTTACTCTTCATAATTTTTTCCGGTGTTCTTATTTGTTTCTTTTACCAATTTGTGTTTTATTCATTTTGGTTTACGTTTAGTAATAAATTAATTATTTATATTTTTTTATGACTTAATCATGTATATACACCTAAGTTTGTTTTTACACGGTCTTTTTGTACACGGTTTTGATATAACACGGTTTGAAAATTGAATATTTTTAATTTTTTTACACGATTTTATTCCATTTAGCACGATTTGAAACTTTATGTACCTAAATTTTTTTTGTCAAATTAAATGTTTGCGAAGTATGTTCATATCACAAAAAAGTATTTATGAAGGAAAAAAGTCTGAAACCATCGATAGTATCGATAGTTTGCGAATACTAGCTTAAAGATTTAAGTGAATTCCCCTTTAGCGCGTACAAACAATTTATACTGGTCAAAGCAAATGTGAATAGAACTAATTTAGGGGAATTCACTTTATGTGCATACAATAAAATTTACTGGTCAGAGCAATTGAAACGTGTTAAAATTTTGTGAACTGTCAATGCAATAAGACGTGTTTGGTAAAGAAATTTTTTGCTGGCAAATTTGATTTTCCATTAAATTTAATTTTAACGCATTAAGCTACAAAATATTTTGTATTTATTCACTTATTTATGTTTTTTAATTTTGTTAAATATTTTATGTTATTTAGTTACCCATTTTTGTATAAGATCAATGTCTTTTTTACAGGTTTTTTTTTACACGGCTTCTTCTAGAACCAATCTACCGTGTAAAAACAGACTTAGGTGTATTTAATTTAATAATGACTTCATCAATTTTCTCGGCTCGAATGAACTTTGAGTTTAAATTTAAAAGAAATCATTACAGACAATTTTTCATAGTATCATTTCTCTTGTTGACATTTTACTTCTGGACAATTGTTCATACAGACAATTGTTCATACTATCATTTCTCTTGGTGACATTTTTTTCGTCCTTCACTTCATTTTTATGTATCACTATTTCTTCGTCAATTTCTTAACCAACTTCTAAATGTCTAACAAATCATTCTTTTAGAAAATCCATGCCTAATCTAATTTCCTTTATCTAGATACCGATTCTGGTCTAGGCAGGGCAACGCCTCCTCGAAGGGCTCCTTCACCAGGTGTAAGGCATCTGCCTTCGCCTTCAGGTGGCCTTGGTCCAGGTTCTCTTCCTCCGTCTCGAGGTTTATACAGTAGTGGTCGAAGAGGAGGCCCTGGAAGCAGTGGAGGATTCGATGATGCAGCAAGCGATGTCAGCAGTGCTGCTGGAAGCCTCATGATGGATCACTATAATGGTAATAAATAGTTTGGATACCCGTAAACAAGCCATCGTTAAGTTTATAAGTATGCCTTACCAACAGTAGCGTAACTATAGGGTGGCGTGGGTGGCAAAATGCCACGGGCCCCCGACCGAAGGGGGCCCCGGCCCAGAAAACCGCGGGCTCAGAAATACATTTTTACATCGAACTTACATTCGGCCGAATATTTAGTTAGTTAAAACCAAAGTGTGTTTTATCTTTTATGCGATAAGGAACCGCTTTGGATCTGCATTGGAAAATTATTAGTTTATGATATCAAGAATGAATTAATGAATTTAATATTGTATATATATATATATATATATATATATATAATTTATACTTTTTTGACTTTTAAGATAAAAAACGAACACGTGAACAACTCTTTTCTCAATATCAAGGGCGTAGCGTGCATTCGCGGGGCTTCATATCAAAATTTGTTTGGAGGCCCCCTTAAGAAGAATTTTTTTATCCCAAAATATAAAAATACATAAAATTCGAAGAATAGTTATTCATCATTCTAATTATTTTTCTATCTAATTTTCTATAATTTTCTGAATTTTTCATAAATGATTTTAGATAAAAATATTCTCACCTTATCTTTTTTCGAAAAACTGAATTATTAAGTGATCTTTAAATTTCCTAAAGTTTCTGTCTCTAGGAACAATAGTGTCAGATCTGGTAGACATTTCTGTCCTAAAGTTTTTACGTAATTTTTTTTAGTTTTAATTTTGCATATCATGGTATTCGTGAAGTACATACAAAGTTTTAAAATCTTCGTCCAAGTTATTTAATTTTTTATTAATCATTATTTTGCTTTAGATTTTTTATCAATTTCTGCTTACGCTCGTGGGGCCCCGTATTTTTTTTACTGCTACGCAATATTCAAAGACATACATTTTACTGCTACATTATTGTTATAAATAAATGTCATTTAATATTAATCATTTAACAGTTACATTGACAGTTGCATGAGTTGTATGTAGATACAATGAAGTCATTCATTATATTCAATCTAAGCCTTTACTGAATTAAGAGCTACCTTAGGTTTTTTATCGCAGAAAATACAAACATTATTTCTGGTTTTGAAAATTAAAAGTTTACCTTTAGAAGCAGATTATACTTCTGACATGTAGACTCCGACAAGTCTCTTTCTTAATTTTATACTATTTGTTACAAGCCTAATTTCAACACATTCTAAAGGATTTTAATTCGTTTTAGAACACATCCACTGGTTTCTCAAGATTTGAATCTAATAACGAAATAACATTAAAAATATTTATCCCTACTAGATGTGCAGGACATTTGGTTTTCCATTGTAATTGTTTAGTATGTTCATTAAGACCAAGTACTCTATCGTTATACCAAGTAAATCGTCTAATTTTAATTTTAGCAAACGTCAAAAGAACTACTCATTTTCTCAAACTTCGATGAATTTTTAAAATTAAACTACTTGTCGTAAGGCCGTAATATTTCAGTAAGTTCTATAAGACCATGATATACATCGCCAAAGAAAGTTCCATGAAAATCGGCTTAATTTTTTTTTCAACAGTTATTTACAAGAAAACGGCTCGGTAGATTTTCACCTGAAACTAATCAGTACCATTCCCAACTAATATCTTTCGAACAGTTTTTGATTTTTTAAAATCGATTCGGTAGTATGAGCTTAAATGTGGACGAAAAATTCAACACTTTTTTCCAAATTTCAAAGAAACGGCTCGGCCGATCGTCGCACAAAACTGAGAAACGATAATCCTCATCGAGATACATCAAATGCTTTTTAAATTTTTGAAATCGGTTCAGGCGTTTTTGAGCAAACGTTGATGAAAGTTCTAATTTGACAAATGCCAAAAAGACCATACTAATTTTTGCAAACTTTGATGAATTTTTAAAGCTAAACAAGTTGTCGTAGGGCCGTAATATTTTAGTATGATCTAGAAGACTATGGTATCTACCGTCAAAAAAAAAAAATAATAATCTCCAAAAAAAATTTTTAACGCCTTATTACAAGAAAACGGCCCGGCCGATCTCTACCAAAAACTAATCAGCACGATTCCCAACCAATATCTTTCGAACGGTTTTTGAATTTTCAAAATCGATTCAGAATTGCGGGCTAAAACGCAGACGAATTTTTTTTTCACTTTTTTGCGATTTACAAAGAAACGGCTTGGCCGATCGTCGCACAAACAATAGTCCTCATCGAGATACATCGAATGACTTTTAAATTTTTGAAATAGGTCCAGTCGTTTTTGAGAAAACGCTGATTCAGGGCAAAAAATCTGTTCACACACACACACACACACATACTTTTTCCAAATTTGTTCTCATTCGATTCAGAATGGCTTGAAACGTCGAGAAAACATAAAATTACCGAATCGGATTTTTTTGATGAAAACATAAACTTCTCTTTCGGGAAGTTAAAAAGAAATTGTTAATGGAAGGTTATGTAATAACTAAATTTAACAAAGTGTTTTTTTTTTTAATTTTTATTTTAAAAAATACGTTTAATTTTAATCTCCATTTATTCTAACGTTGAAAATATTCACTAATATTTTATGTTTGATTTTTAAGAAAAATTATGTTTTATGTATCTCTTGTTATTTTCATATAATTACAAGTAAATTATAATTGTGCCTTTAAATCAATACTTTACTTTTCTACCATTTGTATAATTTTTTTTTCAATATGCCATAAAATATGAATTAGTCGAAATTGGTTTGCTAATTGTGATAAAATTCATTGAAAATTGTTTTAGCCAGTAATAAAACAGCGTGTAAATGTGTATTAACGTTTATTAAACAAAATTAGATAAATTAAAAATTGAGTACCACGATAGGGCCATATCGGAAGCCTTTGCTACGGGCCCCGGAGGGTCTAGTTACGCCACTGTATATATATATATATATATATATATATATATATATATATATATATATATAATCACCAGTAATTTTATTTGTTTAAATGGGTTTGTCATTTGTGATTTAAATTCATAATGTTTGGGTTTGAGACACTTTTTCACATTTTGTTAAATATTTCAAAAACTTTTTCCTTTGCACTCTTTTTAAATTAGTTTAGCAGAAACTAGATAAAATTTACTTCAATCCTGTGCAAACAACTTTATGCACTCTAGTACAAAATTTTAGAAAAAAATAAGTTTGAACTCGCCCTTATGTATTTGAACGTGTTAATTTGGGACACTTTTTTCTATTTTTTTTTTTTATTTAATTTATTCTGGAATCTATTTTACATAGGCATTAACATTGAGCAGAGATTGCTAACAATAATTATCTTATAATATAAACAAGAAGATAGTAGAAATACCCAGCGGCGTGTCTACTAGGTATAATTTATAAAATACCTTGAAAATTTTGTTAAGCACACTGTTTTCTAGTTAGTTTAACAGAAACCAGATAAAATTTACTTTTGTTCTGTGTAAACTGTTTTATACACTTTAATACATTTTTTTTAGAGAAAAAATAATTTTGAAGTAGCCCTTATGTGTTAATTTGGGACACTTTTCTCTAATTTATTAATTAGCTTGAAAATTTCGTCTTGGACACTGTTTTTAAGTTAGTTTAGCAGAAACTAGATAAAATTTACTTTCATTTTGTGTAAACTCTTTTATGCACTTAAATACAATTTTTTAGAAAAAAATAATTTTGAACTAGCCGCCCTTATGTGTTAATTTGGGACACTTTTTTGCAATTTATTAATTAACTTGAAAATTTCGTCTTGGACAATTAAGCTAAACTCGGGTATTGTCTGTTCCGAGCAATTTTAATTAATTAATTTCAAACATTCCAATTATTTTTGTTTAATAAAATATGAATTCAAAAAACTGAGAACGTCTATCGAATTGCTACTTAGACGTGTCCTTTGTTTACTCACAAAATTTCCTGAAATAGAAAATACTCTCATACTTGCGACCAAATTATGCTTAATTGTTTTTAAAGCCTGATATAATAATTTTAAGTTTTTTGTTCTTTTATTTGTGGCTTCTAGGGTTTAAAACTTTTTTTTTAAGTTTGAGTAGAGGAAGTTACTTCTTCAAGAAGAAATCACACCGATTTAAATTAATATATACAATGGTATAAAAATCTAAATTAATATATACAAAACCTTTCGGGGAACCATTACAGACTAAATAAGATATAAAATGCTATTGAACCGATATGATTTCAAGAAGCAAAACGCTTTCATCTATTTTTTATATTTGGCTATATTTGTCATTTTCCATTTATACAGCAAAAACCGACTTTTTTCACTAAAAAGCCGGTTTTCGAATTCCATAATTTTCGCCAAAAAACCGTTTTTTATTTTACCTGATTTTTACCATAAGTATGTCTTACCAAATTTCTTTACCCCCAGGTCCAAGGCTCTACAAACAACCCCTGGCCAAAAGCAATCGTAACATAATGCTGAATGCAGTCGAGTACTGTGTCTTTCCTGGTGCTGTCAACGAGACAGCCAAACGAAGAGTCCTGGACGAGATGATGAGATCCGAGTGCAAACATTTCCTGATACTCTTTCGTGATGCTGGTTGTCAATTTAGGGCACTCTATGGATACGATACACAGGATGGAGAGATGGGTGGTGCTGCTGGTATGGGAATCGATGATAAGGTTATCAAGTTGTACGGGACTGGACCTAAGGTGGTCGATGATAAGATGTTTGATAAGTTTTTCAAGTAAGTAGAAATGATATTAAAATATTAATTGATTTATAACATGAGCATAGATTGCAAACGTATTAAACTAAAAATGGAATAAATTCTAGTAATGTAATATAAGTAAGAATTTCGTTCGTTTTAAATTTTTGTTCGTCAGCTTTGTTTGAGCTTTTATTTTTATTCCATATTAGTTTGCTTGTCAGTAGAGTTTTTTTTTATTATTTTATATTAGTTTCATATTTATATTCAGTTTCCTCATCAGTATAGTTAGTCCTCGATTTTTTGCTCGATTTTTAACATGCTCATCAGTAGAGTCCTTTTTTTAACTTCCCGTAGGGCAAGTTATAGTAATCGCAAAAAAATCAAAAATGAAAATTTTTACATATCTTTACGTTTCAAAGGTTTCTGAACATTTTGGCATACCTTAGAAAAAATGGATGTATGTGTGTGTGTGTGTATGTATGTATGTATGTATGTATGTACGTGTGTGTATGTATGAGCGGATACAAATTTTCGTCGACGATTTCGGGAAACACGGATCGACCGATTTGAATAATTCAAAAAACATTCGATTCGTATTGATAAGGAGACGTGCTGATTAGTTTTTGGCGAAGGGAGGTCTAGCCGTTCCGAAGATACGGGGCAAAAAGTGCCAAAAACGGTAATTCAGTTTTTAAGAGAACGGAGCGTCCGCTTTGAATAATTCAAAAAACATTTTACTTGTATTGACAAGATGAAAAATCGATGAAATTTTTATGAAGGTAGGTCTAGCGGTTTCGGAGATATAAAGGAAAAAGTAAAAAAATGAGCCATTTGGCGGTCAAAAATGATCATTAGACATATGCACATCAAATTATCAGATATTTTATAGAGATTTTAACAATAAGTATACATTTTGTTAACATTCCTTTGGGTTCCGTACCAATGCTTATGCGTTATACAGCGACGCGGCGCTTACGCGCTTTATATTTTGTCCCTATGCAGTTAAAGCAGTACGATTGCTTTGAAAAAAAAGTTCAGATCTTCCACAATAAGTCAAAATAAAGAAAAAAAATTTTTTTCAAAAAAGAAAAATTTCAAAAAAAAGTAATTTTTTGTCCAATTTATAGTTTCTCAAAAATCTTATTTTTTCAAAGTAAATTTTTTTCAAAAATGTTAAGCGTTTTTAAAAAAATAATAATTTTGGGTACGGGAAGTTCCAGCAATTTGTCTTAAGGCACGATGCCTTAATTGCCAAGACAGAATTCCACTTACAGCTAGTTATGTAGTTTTCTTTGCTCGTCGGTAGAGTTTCTACTCTCGACATTTTTATTTTACTATCAGTACACTTTTTTACTTTCATTTTTAGTTTGTTTGTCATTAGAGTTCCTTATTATTTTATTTTTAGCATGCTTGTCAGTAGAGTTTCTTTTACAGTGAAATTTTACAAGTATTTGCTTCAAGTTTAAATTTAGTTTGCTCGTCAGTAGAGTTTCTGGTAAATTAAATTTGAAAAATGAAAAAATAATAAAGCCAAAAGAGACTCTACTGACGATCAAAATTAATCTATCCGGTTAGGAGAATTTAAACACAACTTCACACATTTGCGTATTTTACGAGTGACGAATATACTCGTTGTCCATGACGATTATATTCGTCAAATAAAGATGGTCAAGAGATTTTTTACACATTTTCAAATTTTACGTATGACGAATATACTCGTCAAAACACAATATACTGACACAAATAACCTGGTTGAGAGAGTTTTATGAATGACCATAAATGGTTATAAAAAATCACAAATTTTTATTTCCAACGCGTGACGAATATACTCGTCAATCACAGAATACAATCAATTTCATTTTCAATTTGCTCATCAGTAGAGTTTCTTTTTTAATTTATTTTTGGTTTGCTCGTCAGTAGAGTCCCTTTCTCTGCCGACATTTTTATCTGTGCCGTCTTTTTTCATTTTTATTTTACTTGTTAGTAGTCTCTTTTTTATTTTATTTTTGGTTTGCTCGTCAGTAGAGTTACTTTTTTTATTAGTTTGCTTGTCAGTAGTTTCTTTTTTTATTTTTGGTTTGCTCGTCAGTAGAGTCCTTTTTTCTAAGCATTTGTTCTATAATATTAATATTTGCTTCGAATTCAAATTTACACATTTAAGTATTTTACGGGTGACGTATATACTCGTCAATATATAAAATTCTGACACTTTTCCATGACGAATATATTCGTCACGAGAATTACATTCAAAAATTTTACACATTTACATATTTAAGGCGTGACGAATATACTCGTCAATGAACAAAATTGTAACTTTTTTACAAATTTACTTCTCCATGACGATTATATTCGACAATTACAGATAATTAGTTGATAGAATTTTATGAGAGAATTTTCACATATTTACTTCTATATGACGAGTATATTTGTCAATTAAAGATGACCAGTTGAGATAATTGGTTAAGAGAACTTTATGAGAAAATTTTGACATATTTACATATTCTAAGAATGTACTTTTCCGCACAAAAAAAATTGTCACTTCTTCATGACGTGTATATTCGTCAATTACTGATATCTGTTTAAGAAAATTTTATGAGAGGATTTTGTTGACATATTTACATATTTTACGAATGTACTCGCCAGTACACAAAATTTTGTCTTTTTTCCATGACTGTTTAAAAAAATCACACATTTTTACACATTTACGTTTGTAACGCATGTCGAATATACTCGTCAATACACAAAATACTGACACTTTTCCATGACGAGTATAGTCGTTCATTACAAATAACTGGTTAATAGTATTCTCACACATTTTTACACATTTCCATTCCCAACGCATCACGAATATACTCGTCCAAACTCAAAATTCTGCCACTTCTCCATGACGACTATATCCGTCAATTCCTATTAACATCTCCTTTACTTTTCAGATACAATTCCGGTGGCAAATGTTTCTCTCAAGTGCACACGAAGCATTTAACAGTAACAATAGACGCCTTCACGATTCACAATTCCCTTTGGCAGGGCAAAAAGGTCAATTTGCCCAACAAACGCGACATGACGCTCGTCATCTGATCACATCGAATGGCAAATGGAAATTTGGTGGAATTTAGAGTCACTGGTAAATGTACCATATTATATACATCTACACTACTACACGTACAGATAGATAAATTATTTTTTTTATTATGGATTTTCTTAAACGATTATGTGTCAAAGTAATTATAGTTGGGGACGACATAGGGAAAAAGATATATATGTGTATATATATATATATATATATATATATATATATTGAACCAAGGGCTTCATTTTTCTTCAAAAAATTATTTATTCAATTTTTCAATTATTTTAATCAACGTTCCGGGTATGTAGGATGTCTACTTCTTTAGTAACTATTGATAACATGTATAAAAATTGTTATACATTATACATTATTATTATACTTATTTAATAATTTGAAAATTTAAAGAATTTATTTTTCATCTTTTTAAAAACGAAATTTTGCAATACATTTTCTTAACAGATTTTCAGTTTTGTTAGTATGTTTGTTTATCACCAGTAATGAGTTTAAATCTGTTTGATGAATTTGGTACACTTTTTTACATTTTGGTAAATAATTTAAAAACTTTTTTGTAACACTCTTTTTTAGTTAGTTTAGCAAAATCTAGATGAAATTTATAACATTTGTATACAAACTATTTTATACACCATGTTACAATTTTTTTGGAAAAAACAAGTTTGAACTTGACCTTAGGCATTTCAAAATTTCCAAGATGTCTCATGTTAATTTGGGACACTTTTCTACATTTTGTTAAATAACTTCAAAATTTCTTCTTGAACATATATATTAAGCTAGCTTAGCAAAAACTAGATAAAATTTACTACCATTCTATGCCAAATGCTTTATACGCTCTGGTACAAAATTTTTGAAAAAAAATAAGGTTGAAATTTGCCCTTATGTATTTCATTATGATTATGTATTAGTAATTGCGACTTGTTAAAATGGGACAATTTTCTGCAATTTATTAAATAACTTGTAAACTTCTTTCGTGGACACTTTTTTTTCTTAACATAAACTAGATAACATTTATAACAATCCGGTTTAAAATTGTTTACACACACTGAAACAAAATTTTGAGAAAAACAAGTTTGAACTCGCCCTTATGCGTTTCAATATTTTCATATTTGGGACACTTCTGCAATTTATCAAATAACACGAAATTTTCTTCTTGGACACTTTCTTTAAGTTAGTTTACCAGAAAGTAGATAAAAATTACTTAAATTCTGTGCAAACAGTTTTATTCACTCTGACACAATTTTTTGGGGGGAAAAAACAAGCTTGTTGTTGCCCTTATGTATTTAAAAATTTGCTACGTTATTTGGGATATTTTTTCACATTTTGTCAAATAACTCGAAATCTTCTTTTAGGACACTCCTTTTTATTTAGTTTAGCAGAAACTAGATACAATTTTATCAACTTTACGTATCATCTCTTGTATACATTTCAGTGCAAAATTTTTGGAAAAAACAAGTGTTGACTCACCCTTGTTTATTTGCTATTTTGTAAGATGTTAATTGGGGACATTTTTCTGCAGTTCAGTAAATATTTCAGAAACTTCTTCTGGGACACTCTTTTTTATTTATTTTAGTAAAAACTAGATAAAATTTATTTAAATTCTGTGCAATTAGTTTTATACACTCTGATACAAAAATTTTGAAAAGAAAACAGGACATTTTTTTATCGAGGTCATTTTTTTGTCCGGGACATTGGTGCATTTTCATATGTGTTAAAAGTTTATATTAAAAATATATTTTTAAAAAAGGTTAAAAGAAAATTCTTTCAGATTTAAAATGATTAAATAAGTGTATAAATATATAATAATAAATTATTTACTTGCTATCAATAGTTTCTGAAAAAGGGAACATCTTATATTCTGGAGACGTTGAATAAAATAATTAAAAAATGAATAAAAAAGGTTCAGAAATTCATATATATATATATATATATATATATATATATATATATATATATATTTACCTATATCGTCACCATGTATGTTTTTATTATCTTATAATCTGCTTTTGTCAATGTAATTAATGAAATTGTTCATACTTATATATTTAATATTTATAAAACATGTATATGTATATATAAATATATATATATATATATATAATATACATATATATACATATACATTTTGCAATTAATAGAGCAATTAAAATAATAAATAAATACTTGTAAATAACAATTGCAATCTGCATAATATGTTTTAAATTTAAATTGAATTAATAATAATTCTTATGCTTTAATTCTGATGAAATCGATTAAGCATAAAAAAAGTTTACGCATACTTAAAAGTTATACTTAAAAAAATTAATGAAGGATTTTGGGGGGAGATGATTGATATATATATATATATATATATATATATATATATATATATTGGAAAAGAAACATAAATCAGTATATTAAAATATCGGAGATTTTTGAGAAAACTGGTGTATTAATTTTTACCTCTTTCTATATATACGTTTCGACACATGATGTGTGTCATCATCGTTCAATAAATCATCAGACTAGACTAAACCTAGGCACAAAATTTGAAACAAATTTCTTTCTAAAAAATGACAAATTCAATTAACACAAAAAATTCCTCTTTTTTAAATCGTCTTTTTTGTTTTTTAGTTTTACGTTTCGACACCCAATGTGTGCCATCACCATTCAGTGAATTAAATCAGAAATAAACCAAAATACAAAGTTTGAAGCAAAATTATTAAAAAAAAATTGACTAATTTTAAAGACTAAATTTAGTTAAGAAAAATCAACAGGAACATAACTACTACATCTTTAATAGAAAAAAACCTGATGATGGAACATATCTAGTTCCGAAACGTGGTAATGTTTTTTTATCTTTGAAAAATTATTCAAAAATCGATTTTTTTTTAATAAAACTGATGTATTAATTTTCACTTTTTATTTTTACGTTTCGACACGGGATGTGTGTCATCATCATTCAGTAAATCATCAAACTAGACTAAACCGAGACACTAAATTTGAAACTTTATTTCTAAACAAATGACAAATTTGATTAACACAAATATGTCCTTTTTTTAAATCGACTTTTCATTTTTTATTTCCCAAAAAATGTTTTTTTCCAAAAAAATTTTTTCACAAAATTTTTTTTCACAGAAAATCAAAGATTATATATATATATAGTCCATAGTTTTTACCCTAAAAATTTTTTTCTCAAAAAATTTTTCCCAAAAATTTTTTCTCCCAAATTTTTTTCCAAAAAAAAAACATTTTCCAAAATTTTTTTTCCCAGAAAATCAAAATTATATATATATAGTCCATGGTTTTTCCCCAAAAAATTTTTTTCCCAAAAATTTTTTCCCCCAAATTTTTTCCCAAAAATTTTTTTCCAAAATTTTTTTCTCCAAAAATTTTCTTCACAATTTTTTTTCCTCAGAAAATCAAAGACTTTTTTTCCCCCAAAAATTTTTTTTACCCATTGATTCTTATTTTTCATTTTTACGTTTCGACTCTCGATGTGTGTCATCGCCATTCAATAATAAATCGTACACCGGGGAAAAACAAAACACAAAATTTGAAACAAACTGACAAATTCAATTCACAAAAAACATTCTTATTTTATTTCTCAAGAATTTTTGTTTTTTTTTAATTAAAATTATTGTTTCTATATTTATTTGTTTTGGTTTTGTATGATATATTTATTTTTACTTGATAAATAATTTGATATTTTTTTTATATTTTAATTCACGAAAAACATTCTTCTTTTATTTCCCAAGAATTTTTATTTTGGAAAAAAATGTTTGGGAAAAAAAAAATTGGAAAAAAAATTTGGGAAAAAAATTTGAGAAAAAAAATTGGGAAAAAAAATTTTGGAAAAAATGGAAAAAAAATTTTGGGTTTGATGTTTTTTAAATCTGATTTCTTGGAATTTAAATTTATTGAATGATGACACACTTTACGTGTCGAAACGTATTAGAAAAGGATGGGCAAAACAATTATATATATATATATATATATATATAAACATCTCCCCCTCGATCCCTTTTTACGATCATGACAAAAAATGGGTATTTTTCGATTTTATATTTATTTTTATATTTTTTGTACATTTTATGTTTAGTATTGCCTTCGGTTCGATATTTATAAATCAAAAACAAATCGGTTTTCTTTCAGAAACCAAACAACTGCAACAAAAATGAAAAAATGCAAAAATGCAAAAACACTAAAGCTAAAGAAATTATGAATACTGCCGCCGATCTAATTTATTTGTTATTATTATTATTACATCATCATTATTATGATTATATGAATTTGAGATTAACAATATGAAATAAATTTAATAATAATTGATAATGAACTTTTTCAATGTGTATTTGCATCTCTTTCTGTCTCTCATGAGAGAGCGAGATGGAGAGAGAGAGTCAAGGTGTGAAAAATGCAACAAGTTTTTTTTTAAGTTGAAATGAATTTAATGTAAAGACATCTATATATAAATAAATATATTGTATGGTTTTGTTATCTAGTAATGTAATTATTTAACAAAATAAATTTAAAATTTAATACAAATTTGCGTTTAATTAACTTCCCGTGGGGGTAAGGTATCGTAATCGTCCGAAAATCAACGACAAGATTAATATAAATCGTTTTTTGAGAGAACGGAGCATCCGATTTGAATCATTCAATTCGTAATAACGGAGAGAAGTGGTGATTAGATTTTGGCGAAGGCAGGTGCAGACGTTTTGGAGATACCGAGCTAAATATACAAAAAATGACAGTTTTTGAGAGAACTAAGCATCGGATTTGAATTATTCAAAAAATTTCAAACGATTGATTTTAGGCATTTTTTTTGTCGAAAAATATTTTTTTTGTCGAAAAATATTTTTTTTTAATATCGAAAATCATTTGAATTTTAATTTTTTCTAGCTGAGGTTCTAAAACTCACTTATTATATACTTCAAATAAATAACTTTAACATCGCAATTCAGTTTATATAATTCTTATAAATATTAGACAAATGTTACAGTATTTATTTATAATAATCTATTTGAAAACTTTCAAAATTCCTCAAACATTTCGTTACGGTACGGGAAGTTCTAGCAATTTGCGTTAAGGCACGATGCCATACACCACTAGTTTATAACAAAGTAAATTGCATTATAATAAATGTACCAAACTAGTTTAATATTTTTTTTATTTCAGGTTGCTCGTT